GTACATCGTTTACTAAGTAAAAGATCTATGCTTAAAATTTGTGTTTTGCAAAGTCTCCCTCGAGCTCACAGAGCTCGGTGGTGATCGTTGAAGGACAAAAGCCTGTTGAATTTTCGCTCGAGCTCGCGGAGCTCGGCGATGACAATCGTATGGCGAAAGCCTATTGAATCTTCGCTCGACCTCACGGAGCTCGGCGGTGATCGTTGAAGGGCAAAAGGCTGTTGAATCTTCGTTCGAGCTCGCGGAGCTCGGCGGTGATCATCTTAAGGAAAAGGCCTATTGAATCTTCGCTCGAGTTCGCGGAGCTCGACGGTGATCATCGTAGGGCGAAAGCCTATTGAATCTTCACTCGAGTTCGCGGAGCTCGGCGGTGATCGTCGCAGGGCAACAACCTGTGAAATTGTCGCTCGAGTTCATGGAGCTTAGCGATGGACGACCTGGTGCATAAGCCTGCTGTAACATTTTCTAATTCGCAAAGCTCGGTGGCGGAATTTTAAAATTCAAATCGTAAGGAAAAGAGAAAAACAAGTTCATAAGTAGCTTAAATGCACGACGCTTAAGGTGAGAAGCGTTGCTTAATTATGTATCGACATCACACCATAATAAGACGATAAACAATAGCGGTATGTGCGATAAACATATTGAAAACAAAAGCATCATAAGATAGCCAGACATGGGCTATAAAATACGAAAGCATACATTAAAGTAGATTACGATTGCATGACAAAAGAACCAAGTTCGCCTAAGACATCAAAATAAAGTACAAGTAATCTCAAGTCGAAGACATTTCGCCCCCCTCCTCCTCGTCCACATTCTCGATCTCCAGCCCAGCTTTGCCCATGGCAACTTCTAACGCCGGCTCCCACCAAAGATGAGAAGCGGGAAGTGACTTGTCGCCGTTTCAACCACCTTGTTCTGGGAGACCCTTCATCCGCTCGGCTTCATTCCAAGAGTCGGTGAAGCCTTGGGCCTCGGCTTGGGCTTGTTTATGCATAACCCTTCCTTGAAGTACTGATGCCATGCAGGGAAGATCCATTTGAGGAATGCAGTAGAATGTTGGTAGTATGCTAACCACTCGGCCCGATAGTGCTCAATAAAGCTTGCACCTGGGACAGAGGAGAGGAAAGAAGCTTGGCCTTCTTCACGGGCCTTGGCAACACGATCATCCATAGAGAGACGCAGCTTTCCAAGCTCAGTATCTTTGGTCTTTAACTCGGCCTCCTGTAATGCCAGCTGCGTCTTGAGCTTCTCCTTCTCGACCTTTTAGAAGTCAAAGGCTTCGTTCAGGCTAGCAAGCTAGGCTTCCCTTCTGCCACTTCATCCTTCAGCCCCTCCACCTCGGCAGAGTCGCCCTCCAGGGACTGGTAGAGAAGAGGAGCTTGGCCATCTAGTGTCTACCAAGTAAATTAATAAAAGAGTTAATCTTTATATGGCCTATTTACTAAAGATTGGGTTATGGGTGATAGATGACGTACTAGGTTGAGGTGATAGGTAATAGTGGCAGCCCCTTTCTCCTTGGTTGCCCATCGGTGGTTTTTACCTCAGGATATATGGAGAGAAAGGTAAGAGCTCGTGGCCATCACGTCACGATTGCCAACAAATTATGCTGGTTGCTCAAGAATTTAGATTGAGCAGGATTTTTTCTCGTCACATATTCTCCTATCGGGGAAGTCTTTTTCTTCTTGGGGTCGATTTTTTGGCGCTTGGCCGAGAAGGATTTTTGCGGTAGCTTGCAATAGCGTGGGAATTTAGTTGCTTCAGAAGCAGTTTTCAGGTTGATAACCTGATGATGTTGCACGTCAGCAGATGCCTGAGCTTCTTTCGGCATAGAGTGGGGGTCAGTAGCAAAGGTGCTGAATAGTGATT